TAAAATATGGATAATTAGCTAAGGTTTTATGCTATTCTAATTAGTATAACATAAACAAAAAGTAGTTTAATAAAATTTTGAACATAAGACACTAAAATGAGACTCAAAGATAACTCTTAACTGAAACTTTTCCATTTAAATTCTGTCAGTTATTTTCATTCTTATGACTGTTACATTTATGCAATAATTATTATAATTTTTTATATAAACTAAAATGTAATCACATCAACATATAAAATAATCTAGATGCAATACAAAATTTTCTGTTTCTTTGATAGCAACTCTAACACTCATTTCAGGTTTATTTTACTGTTGCTTATGTTTATGATTTTGTCCTACGATTCTGAAATTACTCAGTTTGTTTCTTTTTCTTGCTACTTGTTAAAAACTTAGAAACTTACACACACAACAACAATAGAACTCTTCTACACTTATACTACTGAAAAAGTGTGTATGATATCAGCATGATTTTTAAAATTTCACCAACATTACGCATTGGATCTACCCAATGTTTTTAAGCAAACACTTTACAATCTTATCCACATTCCTGTAAAGACTGTTTTAAGTATTATCTTGAATCACATATATACAAATTAAAACATTTATAAATACACAAAAGCACCACACATACACACATATATTTTTTTACTTATGAAAACTGTCTTTAACACACAAATTTAAAAGAAAACATTTTTGAAGCAATACTATACATAATAATTTTATACACAGGAAATAAACGTAATTTCAAAACAAACCAAAGTGGATAGACAAGCATGAAAAGCAAATAAATGATATTTTTTTCTTACATACAATTTTTAAGTTTGTTATTATGTAGCTATCACAAAAAAAAACTAATGCCTCTATTAGGTGCATGCAATACTCCAAGTGAATCTTTACACAACATTATAAAACTCTTACCTTTCATTTACTAATTTGTCATGAAATGGATCACGTGGTTGACGTTTCATAATGTCACTTTCAGCTTTCTCATAAGCAAGAGAAATAGCAGGAACCTGTGGAAGGGGTGTTCAAGCAATAACAACCAAATATAAACTCAGCAGCAACAAAAATCCTTCCAGAATTTTTAAATGAATTAAATCAAGATCATATTTTGACCTAAACAAATAGCTAACCATTACATGCTGGGGGTATTAGTTTCAGAGACATGCAAAAATATACTCATGCAGAACATCCAACCAAGCAACCAACAGAAGCAATTAAATGCTTTAAGTGCCCAGGTAGCAATTCTATAACCAGAAGGAAAGAAGAAAGACCTTACTCTTCATGTGTAATTGGTTGAAAGCCTTCCAGAGAGAATAATTATAGAAAGACACAAAGAAGGAAAGAAAGTTAAGTCACCTCTCATTTACAAGTTTATCATGCAGAGGGTCACGAGGTCTTCTTTTCATTATATCTGATTCAGGGCGCTCATATGCCAGTGATATAGCAGGCACCTACAGCAGAGTAGCCAAGATGGACAACATACATGAAGACACAGAACATTAATAGAAGTAGACAAACAGGTTAAATACATATTTACTGCAACTGAAAGATTTAAATTCTGGTCATACAATAAACAGGTACACTTTCAGAGTATAAAAAGAAAATATATACAATAACAATATACAATACTATTAACTTTCTATGACTGTAAATACCAAAATTTATGCACATTCAATTTCAACCTGTCTAAAGACACAGGGTTACTCTTAATTACAAATATCATCACTGAGGACCACAAAATTTATAAACTTAAAACACATATTCATCTAGAAACAGGTATCTGTTAGAATAATGGTAACATTTTAATGAACTTGTATAAAACAGAGGAAATTGATTGTGCTTTATATATTACATTTCTTTGGTATAGCTACATAAGCCCTGAAGCTGACATGTTCAATTAATATAAATTAATTTTCCAAAGTTATGAACAAATATATTTACATGTAGTCATGTGCATGGAAACAAAGCTGTTAGAACTAACAGTCTAATAAGGAAATTCTGGCCAGCAAGAGGCAACAACTTACATCAGAGAATGTCATATGCCTTTGTGTGCATGGTTAACATAATTGAATTTATTTTTAGATGGAAGTACTTTACATAAAAATAAATACATTAAGTGATCTTTGAAATTTTGAGAAATAGCATAGAAATCAGTCACATACCAAACCTTTTTTTAAATCTTAATTTACAAACTTTTCTGGTATACAACCCTAATATAAAAAAACTTATCCAGAACTGTGAAAAAAAAAAAAAAAGACTAGAAAATACACTTTGTATACAAGCTGACTAGAGTTGGCAACTCAAGCTTGGTCACAGTTGAAAGTGAAATGGGCTAAATAAATGTTTGCCCAATTTATAAATTAGAACAATTCAATAAATATATTTTGCCATTGCAAGAAAAAATTATTTAAATTTTTGTTTCAATATCAAGCACAACTGACTCAGATGCTTGTTGCATTATACAAATATATGCTATTTTATTCAATTCCCTTCACAAGCATTGAAGCCATGGCCAAAAAGAAAGAGCAGTTAAGATCTATTTCGTTAAAAGAACAACGTGTGTCAGTCAGTCCGTGCATTATTTGTGCTAGCTCACATTGAAACACAATATTCCTACTGGCTAATTGTAGAGTGGTACTTTTACATTTATATCAGTGCAAAACTACAGTATTTATAACATTAACTTTAAAGAGAATTATTTCATTAACATACACAAACATGCAAGGAAACACATTAAGGTAATTCTATGACTTTTCTTGGCTTATAAATAATGCAACATCATTACATCCCAATAAAAATTTCGACAGATGCCTAAAAATCAACAATAACGCCTAAAGTTTAAATATGCTTTGTAAACAAAGCAGAAGTTTACCTGCTATATCACTTATGGTAATTAGCCTTAACAGTCACTGCCACAACTTCATTAATTTCAGATGATATAAAAGTGCAATTTAGACACATACACACAAATTTACAAAAACACTCATGACGAATGTTGATTTTTACACATCCTGATACCATAATTTTAAAAATTCACTATTTTACAACTGTATAAGTTTCCAACTACCACAATAAAAATCAACAATAAGACCTAAAGTTCAAATATGTTTTGTACGTGAAGAACAAGTTCATCTGTTTGGGAAATAAAACATTACACCATTAACATTATTGGTGGTAGCAGACCAGAAGCTTTGCAAATATTTTGGGGGAAGAGTAAAAAAAAAGAATTGATACCATTATCGAAGGAAAGTGACTAATGAAGACACTGATTTTTTATACTTCTTGATATCATAACTTTAAAAATTCACAATTATATAACATCGATATCTAGAATTCGATAAATAAAATCTCAAGATATTAGTCAAAGATGGCCATTATCCAGAAAGACAAGATGTTTATAAAAAAAATGCTGTGTACAAAGATATATTTCATTTATAGTCATTCCATATTTTTACACTTATTTACTTTCTTACAATTTATGTTTGCTAAAGAAGGTTTCTGTAGTCAAATAATTTTAGTACATACGTCACACGTGAAGCACGTGTTTTTCAAAGAGGTTAGTCTCACATCACCAATGCATAAAAACATGACTACTTTAAATTTTATTGTCATTATCACAACATAAGTAATACTTAAGTGATGAAGAACTTAAACTAATCTTTATTCACTCGTCAGATAAGTCTACTTTGGCTCTAGTGAAAACTTTGCTATTATAAATGCCAAGAGGGGCAAACATAGCTCTACAGTTGTTTCAATCAGAACATAGTTTAATTTCTAACTATTAATCTAAAACAAACAATTAACAAATTAGTTTCAACAATATTTGCGATATTTTCTTTAGTGTCAACTGTATGGTAACTTTTGCTCCACTCTCTATATTAACATAACCATAAATGTTGTCTAACTGTTATTAAATTGAGAGAAAAATATTCAAATTAACCTTAAAATTAATTTCTTGAAACAGTTGACAAATGACAAACAGTTTTTAACTCAAGCATTATTTTTTTTAAGTATGACAGCCATAAAATTTATTTCTTGGCTATAAAAGTTCTTCTAGAATATTATTTGCTTCATGTGTTCAAGCAAAGCTGCACATAGGCTATCTTTTTTACCTGTCCCTAATTGTGATGGGTGGCAATGGGATGTGAACCATGGACCCTTGGATTCACAATCTGGCACACTAAGCAGTAGGTCATGCTTCTAGAATATACAGAACCAGGATTACATAAAACGTCTGTTTAAAAACTATAGAAATCAAAGTAAATGATTTCTCACTAAACCGAGATAATGGTCACAACATGAGCTGTATTTGGCAAGGTCTATTCACCATTCATACACTTGACCAGAACTCAACCTCTACCTATATCTCATCACCTACTGACACCATTTCTGTCACATTTAGTCCCTATTGTCTTTTTAACGATATATAAACCTTGGATTGCTTAGTACTGGTCATACCTGAAGAAGACAAACCAATGTTCTGTCGCAACACGTAGTATGTATAACCATCAATAAAACTTTTCCTTATGCTTATAAATTGTTGTTTGCTTACCTATTATCATGACACCTATGGTTTCTTGATCCATCACAGTCTTGGATATATATCTGGGAGCATTATACAGAATCAGCGCAGTCTGGTCTGATTACAACCATTAAGTGTCCTACATATGGGTCCAATATTTTGTTGATACATTGCTACCTCACAAATACACCTCTCAGAAACACAGCAAGATGTGTACATCCATGCATACTCATGTCTTCATACATGATAACTGAACCACCACAGAAATAGTAATATGTAATGATGCTACACTAAGCATATCACTTATTTCTTATTCTTTAGCAACAGACAAGAATAAATTATCTGTAGAGATGGAAAAACCTTTATTTACCACCTTTGAAGAGTAAAGGCACCCACTATTGTTGCTGTCAATTTTAGTGAATTAAACTGATCTGTGCTGTCCATTGAACTACAGGGCTGCAGCAAGTCTTCTTCAACTTAAGCTGGACATACAAATTGTGGCTCTGATTGGTTTGTATTGAGTCATGAGCTGTGCATTTGCAGTTCTAAACAGCCATGTTGTGGGAAATAGTCATCATATGGTATAGGTGATTTTAAACAATCTTCTCCAGGTTATAATTTGTCTGACAGTATGTTGACAATTGCCCCACTTTGAGCTGAACAAACAAATTAACTACTGCTTGTTGCTGCAGTTGTACAGTTTCCTAAACGTGAATAGCTATGAAAATATGTTGATCCAAAAACCATTTCTGCCTGCCACCAACAAGACAAGAAAAGAATGACCAAAATAGCAAACATTTGAAATCTGATTGTCGAACATAGGCAATGTTTCTCTATAGTGGATAGCAAGTGTAAAATACACCAAAACAGCTGTACATTTAACTACACAGTTCATTACTGCAGACCAAAGTTTCTCATCCCGTCATCTCGGGCTATGTGGGCATTATAAAGAAGAAGGGAGGGGGTCTGAAATGGTGAAGATCGAGCCTTCAAATGATGGTTACAAAAAAAAAAGTTCTATGTTCAATCAAATGAAACTAATATTTTATTTTCAAATTTACATATCTATTTATGTCAGTACCACTTTTATACACTGTGGTGTCAACTTTCACAAGTGGAATTATCCGAGTATTGGGTGGGTAGAGGGGTTTATGAGATTGTCTTTGTTTCATGAGGGAAAAAAGGTGATAAACACAATTCTACATAAAATACCAGTGCACATATAAAGATTTAGATCTATGTTGAGAATTAGCACTAACATGTTTGCTGTTATATTTGAAGTTCTTACTACAAACTCGTTCAAATTTAAAAATTTATGTACAAAACTTATTAAAGAATTTTGTTTTTGTTCACAGTTCCCTCTTTGTACATGCTTCAACAATGACATTTTACTGTCACATAAAACATTAATATTTCAATTTTACAAAGCATCACAAGAATGGGTATGCTAACATTTAGACTTTTAACTCACATATAGTTGCTTATTATTAATTACAGACAGTAAATAATATTACAAAAGATTAAGTGGTGCATTTGTTCAAATATTTTATTTAGAATTTATTAACCTTCAAATCTGTCAAAAGCAGATAATGTAACATCAGTCATCCTAGTTAAGAAAAACAGCCTCAAAAGATGCAGTAAATTTAAAATACACCAAGAAAACAGCATCATAGCAAAAATACTTCCACCACTGAATGTGGAACATTATTATCTCCATTTTTACAAAATCACTTAAATCAGACTGAAAATAACCCATTACCATCCACCTTTGTAAAATTTATCTTCTGTAACCATTAATAATTGTGGAACTGAAGTTTTTGTAGGATAGCAATTTTAGACAACAGACATTAAAGAAATGTAGTAACTGTTGTAAGAACATTATGCAGGAGTTTTGAACAGAAAAGAAAACAATAGCAATTCATACATAACAGGCCTATCACTAGATATGATTTCTGTCTTAAGTATTTAGTCTTGTAAAATCCACTTTAGTACTTTAGACATTCCTACACATGTATATAGTTTTAAACTTTTCTAATATAAAAAAAAAAGGTGTAAATGTGATGAAAAAGGTTATCCTAGTACTTTAGTTTTATTACTAGTGGCCTTGGTACAGTTTGACCTTTTAACATATTAAAAACTAAAATAACTTGGTTTTTAAATACATCATGTTTTCTGGTTCACGTATTGTTTCTATACAACACACAATGTTAAAATAAATCAAAATATTCAGTTGTAGTAGCTATAAAAAAAGAACAATTACAAGTAATTAAGCTAAATTACCTGCCAATAAAATCAGACATTAGATAATTAAATTTTAAGAAAAAAAACATTATATTTTAAGTTTTAACTTACCAAATCAGTACCCAAATCAATACACAGAATTGTGACTGTTCCTAGAGGGAGTGGTACATCGGCAAGAATGAACAGCAGAAAAGGACTGATTTCAGGAATGTTACTGGTTAAAGTATATGCAATGGATTTTTTCAGGTTGTCAAAAATCAAACGCCCTAAGAAATATATCAGCTGCTTAAGTTCCTGAAAACTACAATTTCATCTACTAATTCTTAAAAATATTTTACTCAAAAAAAAAACAACACTAGAAAACAAAAGCACCAATATGCTACTATTTAATTAGAATTATGTGTTCATTCATTATTTCCACAAAACAGTTAAAAAAAAAAAAATCTCAAAAACATCAAACTACAATAAAATGATATTAAAAAAGTACAGGTAGGTAGTTATATCTGGAACCAATGAGTAGCAAATACCAAAATACGTTATTCAAACATTTCAGTGACCATGAAGTTTGCCTTCATAAGAAAAATGATACTGCTCTCTACAATTAATTATTAAAAAAAAAGCCTAACATAAACTTATAAATGATATTGTAAAAACAGATTAAAGTTAATTAGAAAAAAGCATTATATTCCCCACAATAATCTAACATGTTTACTTAAAAACCTCAGAAATATTATTTTTTACTTAAAGTTGATTAAAAGTTTTTCCTTGATATTAATTATTTTTAACTATATTATCCAGAAATTATGCCATGACAGCTGTGTAAGAAATTTCATATTTTGAAAGTCACTCATATTATTAATTAATAATGAATTAAAATCTTTATTAATTCCTCATTAATAAAATCAGGTTTCATTAAATTTATTGATAACCACCTGATGACAAAATTTTTGTCAAATTCAAAAGTTAGATCAATTAGAAATTTTAAAAGGGCAGATTATCTCTGGTAATATAATTCAGTGTGCCCAAAAAAAGCAAAAAATACAAGTTGGTCCACTGGAACAAACCCATATTTTAGAAGAAAAGTTGACTATAATTCCCAACTTACTACCTGTATCTAAAGGAATTTAGCAAGCTTTTAGTATAATCTACAAGTCTGTTGTACACAAAAAGTCAGATGTATTACAAAAAGTAACTGTACTCGAGATATGTCTGAATTGATGACACCAGTCTGACTAAAACTGACAAGTTGGAGTACAAAGCAGTGTTATTGTGAAGTATGAAAATACATTTGACCATTGCAAAGTTTGCATATTTCATAATCTCTAGAACCTCCAAAATACATATCTAAATTATTTTACTGTATCCCTGTATACTAAATCTGGTATTTACTCTCCTCTACCTTGAACTGTTGTTAAATCAACAATGTAAGATAAAATGACTAGCTGATAACCCTGACATCAAATACATAATACCATGTTGAATGGCACTTTGTAAAAGGTCATGATATGTGTAATTTGACTCTCACCCGTGTACACAGGATTATTCTGGTATAATTGCAGATTTAGTACACACATTCCCTTTCTTTAATACGGCTACATATAATACAAAAGTCACCTACTGATTGCATTTGAAAAGTTAAAGTATTTCATGTCTCTACTTTTGAATGATACAAGTTATTTTGTAAAAAACTGATTGGTGTACCTTACTGTATATAATGTATAGTATAAATCTGTTCCAAAGCTTCTCAGAGTTGTCCTTTATTCAAAAATGCTATCAAGATTTACTAATATTCAAAAATCATAATGATGATTACTTTTTTTAAAAGCTTTTTCATGTATTTTTGTGTGTTACATCAACTCAAGACATGCTTTAATCATCATTGTTCAACTATACCTGTAAATGAAAGCAACACAGAAAGAAATAATATGCAGATCAGGATTTTGCTAGTATTACACACATTAAGACAATTAGATGGGACAAGAAACTGTGTTATCTTCACAAATGAAAACATGTGAGAAAGAGCTGGAAGCAGTACTCATATTGAGTGACACTTTTGTTTTGAGTTGAGCTATGCAAAATGAACTATGAAAACAAGAGTGGCCAGACAAAGGGAAGGAGAGTATTTTTTTTTTATGATTCCTTTTTTTAAAAGCTTTTTCATGTATGTTTGTGTGTTACATCAACCCAAGACATGCTATAATCATTACTGTTTAACTATATCTGTAAATGAAAACAACACAAAAGGAAATAATATGCAGATCAGGATGTTGCTAGTATTACACACACATTAAGAAGATTACAGGAAACTGTGTTATCTTTATGGATGACAATGTGTGAGAAAAAGCTGAAAGCAGTACTGATATTGAGTGAAACTCTTGCTTTGAGTTGAGCTAAGCAAAATGAACTCTGGAAATGAGAGTGGCCAGACAAAGGGAAGGAGAGTATATATTTTTTTATTATTATTACTCAATGTTTTTTTTTCAATTATCACTGATGTGGTATGCTTTCAAGCATAACTATTTACTTACAATGTAAAAGCAGGTAACTGCCTTAATTAAGTAGATGTAGATAAATTGAATTCATTGCTTCATGTTGCTAGTGCTAGAATTAGTGTATATATAAGTTTGCTAAAGATAAAGAACAGATCCTCTGACCATGGTTGCTTGGTGCTCATGTTGCAAGCTCTTAGTTCAGCATCACTACTGAACTTCACATGCTTATCTTTTGGAGTTGCTTTTCTTGGTGGTGAAATACAGGTGGTTATCTTGAAAGCTACTTATTTAATATTTTGGATGGTGTATGTACTAATATGAGAAATACAGCTAACAATTTTCCTAGCAAATTACCCAAATCTACGAAAAACATATTTAATCAGGTGAAAACCTTCCTTGCTTACATATTTTATATATTTTGTAAACCTATTTAAAGAGCTAATAGGCACAATAATCATTAGTTTTGTATTTTATATGCAGTTCTACAAACCTTCTTCAACACCTGTGACAATAGATGCAAAGTTGTCATCAAGCAGAATCATGTCAGCAGCCTGTTTGCTTACATCACTCCCAGCAATACCCATAGCAACGCCTAATCACAGAAAGACAAAAATTATTACGAGAGTCAATAAAAAAAAAGGATTATTAGTCATTTTGTAATTAGACTAAAACACCAATCATAATTAAATCACAAGTTATAATCATTTTGTAACTATGATGATTCATTTTTATAATAGCTCTAACATGAGACTGAAACAATGATTTTCATACCTTTATACAATTAACAGTATTAACACAAGATTTTATGAAATCAGAAGACTGAGTCATAAAAACATACACAAACTACAGATGTATCAATATAAATAAGATTGTTCACCTCATAATGTAACCATTTCATAATTATCACGATATACAAAAATTAACCCGTACATTTACTATTTGTGTTATGGGAACATGGAACCATGTTATAAACATGTATGAAGCTATTCTTGGACTAAAGGTTTTATAACACTTTCTCTCTACCTGTCTGTGACTACTGCATGAAAGGTAAATAATGCAAATGGTTCAGGAAATATCAGTATAATAGATTATTTGTACGGCTCCTAAGCTATTAACCTGTGGCTACCTGATTGATCTTATGTAAATTTAGCTATTTTTATCTCAAAGAGCAGTGTAAAGTCTTGTTCCAAGTCCAACTTAGTAAAAATTGTACCTTTATTAACTGAAAGATTTCCTGCCAGTCCACAAGCATGGTTTAAATTATCAGTTTACCATTTCTTTTGAAATCCAATACCTTTTCAGTATAGACTTCATTCTAGTTTAAGTATCATAATTTCATTTTTGAAATAGTAGCATGTGTGTATTATGTTTGTATTTAAATTTTTTACTGTACTCTTGTTGTTAAATTTCAATTCATCACATATACCTCCACACTTACAAACTAAATCATTTGATCTCTTTGCTTTCTGTAAGAGCTAACTATTAATTAATATTAATTTTATTCAGGATTAAGCACTAGCATAACAAAAATGATTCCATTCAACAAATTAAAAATCGTCATAACAAATGAGGTATCACCATGTTCAACACTCAACATTAGCCAATATGATGCTAAACAAACTCCTGTTTGTATATGTATATAGACATAAAAGCAAGTTGTTATTCTTCTACATTTTTATTTATTTCTTAGCTTTTAGTCATAATTTCAGCAAGAATTTCATCCTAGGAATTTTCTGTCTTAGTACATATATTTATAACCCATATTATCAGCCTATATCAACACCTGTTTACATGCTTTTTTTTATATATCTACAAAATAAATTGATCAATGTAATGAAGTAACAAATACATTTATTTTATCAGTATCTTTAAAATCATCTGTAGAGAGTTTAAAGAATTTACTACTATAACACAGTAATAATTGTCAAAAAGGAAAATATGGAATTCTTAAAGAAATTTCCTGGAAGCTCCCATTTTATATCACTCAAATAGCCTTTGTACAGAAAAAAATAAAATTAAAGTTTCCAAGTTGTATGCATTTATATGGAAGTTTTCAGTATATGAAATAAACCAGCCTTCTCTCTGAAACATTAAAACTACATATTAATAACATTTTGTGTAATTTTATAAATATATAATGATACAAAATATTTTGAAGTGTGTTGAGAATCTAAGATGTAGACTGATATTTAAGCTCACTAAGATACTAACATATAAACATTGGAAAATGTTTTCATTACACTTACAGAAGCAGCTCATTGGAACTAGATTGTCTACTTAATTCTGGATTCAGTTATAACAACCAATATTTGATATGTTAAGTCTCACTGGACAATACTAGAATGTAAATCAGTTGGTCTTATTTCTTTGCATAACTGTTCATTTAATTTCATCAAATATCCCCTTAGCTTTGTTTCTCTAGATTTAATTGGATATTTTTCTAAAATGCAAAATTTAGTGATATAATTTCAAGTACCTCATTGTTATAATCTTCTTTAAGATTACAATCTTATGTCCTTTTATCAGGCTTAGTGATTTACAGTACCCTTAAAATCATAAATAATATTCAACATTAAACTGGTACACACTTAAAAACATTTTATTTAGGCCTATCTATGGCCTT